TCGCGCAAAGATTATCTAAATTAAAAAAAGATATGAGTATGTTAATAATAATAGTTAATACTAATGAAGAAAAAGTGATAAGAATGTTTATTAATATCGTTGTTCACGTCGTTATTGCAATAGATAAAGCTTATCAAAATTTGTCGCGATTTCTCTTTCGCTCTTGTTAGAAAATGGCGAGTGCAAACGAAGACGACTTGATGCGTATACGTATACACGATTTTCAAGTCGTCTGACGTAACGTACGTAATTGTTCGGTGTATATGTGTCCGGGGAATATGCGATACAAGAGGCTTACTTTCGCTTGAGTACTCTACGTGAATTGAATATTTTACTGTAGAGTATTGCATGCTGTTCACTATGTGTGTGTTACGCGTATGTGTGCGTTATGTGTTTCTCCATATACTCAGTAAGAGAGTTGTATTGTAATATATATGATCCATTTTATTTATAGAAAATAATTTTTCTACGATCTAAACAATGAAATTCAAGAAAATAGAATCCTCAGAAACTTTTGTGCCTTTCGAAAATTATATCCAACATTTAATAACGTATCTGAACTATCTCAGAATTTTGCGACAAACGAATATATTTTCTATGCCAAAATTATTTTTATTAAACATCACAGTTGCAATTTCTCTCTCTGTTAATTTTGTCCTTGTCGTTTCTGAAATTTCTATGATTTCTTTTCACTCCGATATCGAACGACTTTCGAATACTATCAATCCTTTGGGTCTTCATCTAACCGGTATTATTAAATGGACATATTGTATAAGTAAGAGCAAAGAAATCAGCAGACTTCTTGATGATTTAAATCGGTGTTATTTGCTTTCGAAGAAAATTGAAATTGGAAAGAGAGGTAAAGAATACAAACTTATTTATCTAAGTAAATAATAAATTAAAAAATTAAAATATTAAAGTAAATAATTTTTTTTTAGAATGTGCTTTTTCTAAAACAGAAATGGAAACTGTGTACAGAGATTCAAGGATCTTACTTTATTCTTGGACAACATTTTGCGTATATGGGGTATGTCATTGGTGTTTTAACGCACTTCTACTAAATTATAATGGTCAAGTGAAAGCTTTCAATACAAATAATAGCAATGTTATTTTGTTGCCATACATAACGAGGCAACCGTGGAGTATTGAATCTATAAAGGGTTATACTTGTTCGTTTATTCTTCAATTAGTCGGTGGAATAACATCGGCAGTTGGTGTATCTAGTTATGATGTTTTATACGTTTGTATTTTAATGGTAATTTATGGACAATTAAGATGCCTGTCCTTCTCATTGATCAATATGAATTCGATCGTTGATGCAAGGTAATATTGATTGTAATTAATTACATAAGTTAGCTATTTTATATAAGAATCCTTATTGTTACATCAAAGAGAGAAGAATATCTATTTGTAGAACAATCGAAGAATTCGAAATGAAATTACGTTGTTGCGTTGATCATCATAGAGCTGTGTTTAAGTAAGCTAAATTTGTATATTTTAATTTTAAAAAATTTTTCAATACGTTTAAATATTAACGAAACATCCGATTTATTTTGACAGAATATCGAAAAGTTTGGAAGCTTTGGGGAGTTTACCACTGTTTATACAATGCATAGAAAATATAATCATCGTTTGCTTATTATCTTTTGAAGTGTCTATGATACAATTTAAGGTAGAAAGAGCTTTAAGAGAAAATTATTCATAAGATTAAAAAAATAAAACATCATTTACTAACGTCGAAAATTATTTAATTGAATGATTTCAAATTTGTAGATGGATTCAGAAACTCTAACGAAATTATTTCGATTAATGGAATACTTTTTTGCATTGTCAGTGCAATTATATATATTTTGTTTTTACTCAACTCAAATTTATACTTTGGTTGGTATTCATAAAACTGATAAAAAAATAGATTAAGTTCTGTAAAGTTATTTCAAATATTTTTAGAGCTTACAAATCCCCGATGCTGTGTTTGCTTGTGAATGGGAACAAACTATATACAATAAAATAGAAAATACGCAAGATAGGAAGGAATTATTAACTAATAAAGTGAAACATTTGATATTATTTCTATTATTGCGTTCTCAGAAGCCTATTATAATGACTGGTGGACCATTTTACGTATTATCTCTCGAAACATTTAAATCTGTAATTAAATTCGATTATAATTGATATGATTTCGTAACATGTAATAAGGGATAATAATATTCTTCATTTATCTTTTTCAGATAATGACTTTAGCAGTTTCGAATGGAGTAATACTTCGACAACTTTCTGATAATTAATATGTCTCTTTGAAATTTTAGTTTTTTTTTTTTTTTATTATAAATAAAAAATAAATTGCATTAATACGCAGTAATCAATTATTTAAAAACATTTATTTTGAGAAATCTTTTCCTGCATTCGCCATTTTTACGCTCACGGTATTATATATATACTGAATCATGCAGTTGCGTGGAGTAACATACTGAAACACATGCGCTCCTGATAAAAATACGACAACCCGCAGATGACTCGCGCAGTTGGCGCGCATGTAAACACCGCTCGAATCCAAAGCCACGATTCAGCAACGTGACATTAACTTTACACAAACAATATTTTTATCACTTGCATATAATATTTCTTTGTATCGTAAAAATAATGAATTGTACTAAGACTTTTGCTCTAATCATTTAAAAATTAAATTCAATTTAAAAAAAAAACACACACACATTTTTCAAACATAACTATCAGTATCTGAAATTAATTTTAAAGAAAATAATTTAACTAAAACCTAACCGATATATATATGCAAGTTATATCATTTAACAAGTATTAAGAAATTTATATAAATAATTGATTTATTTTCAGGTAATTATCATATTTAAAAATATATATTTATAATGTTAATAAACACAAAAATGCAATTTAAAGGATTATTTTAATCACATGCATATTTGTAATATTTTTTAATATTAAGACTCATTCTAAAAATATTAATGACAATATAATTATTAAAGTATATTTTTATATAATGTTTAATTTATATAATAAAAATTATTTTTCTTGTGCCTTCAATTTTACTAATGTAAAGTTCCGTTCTATAAGAACGCGTATGCGCACGAGACTTAGGAAGGCGCGCGTGACAACCTTGAAAGCAAAGAGAACCGTGATAAAAGGAGTAGGGAGAAAGAGAGAGGATGACATCCACCTACAACCGTATAAGAAGCCCGCGCTTATAACAGGAGCGCACGAATAACATAGAAGTAAAAGCGTACCAGCTTGAATGGATGATAGCTCGTTACTGCGGACGTTTAAATCCCCGAGTGGACTCTATTGATCGTCGATAAGGGTAAACTATAAACGATCTCCTTACCTATCATGCATTCCCACTAAGTGGAAGTTGATATTAGAATGCACGTGGTCGTCCGTCCTTCCGGGAAGTTCCATCGTTCGATACTATCGTTTTCTAGCGTTTACCTTCAAAAGAATATATTACGTTCAAGGTATGGAGGGTAGAAGTTAGGAGTAACATCTTTTATGGGAGAAAATATGAAAAAGTGTTTAGCGTTTTCTGTCAATAACAGTTCAAAAACCTTCCAGAATGGCGCTGGTGTAGACACTTGGTATGGTATGAATGTAGCAATTGTAAATGTATTGTAATTGTTTATTTCTCAATCCTACTCTAATAATATTTGACGCTTCCTTTAAAATTTACCATGATGCTAATGTGGTGCCACCTCAATTGGTTCGGTTTGGACAGACACTTTTCATATACAGAGATGTTACTCCTTACTTCTACCCTCCATAGTTCAAGGGAATACATTTTTTCATTTATTTAAAATTTCTATTTTAACATTATCATTGCTATGTTTATATATTTTTCTTATGCAATTAATTTTGTAAATAATAATAATAAATTTAATTACAAATAAGAATAGGATATAATTATTTATCTCATTGAAGATACAAAAATAATTATTTTATTTAAAATATAAATTCACAATAGTAAATACCTAGATGAATAAGTGAAAAAGATGGATGAAATGTATAACAAATATCATGTTTAAAAAAATGGTAAAATATCGTGACCGAAGAGGAATTGGTATTTTCTATTAGAAGGAATATCAGACTTTGAATGAGATATGTGAATCAACGGGCTGGATTCCGGATTCCTGCTGAAGTATGATTGCCTGGTCGTGTATTCGCGACTCGCGGAGTCCTTACGGCGATATTACGCTTTGACCCCACACGGACGTCGGCCTCGACATCAAAGTTGTACTCGCGACGATGGTACTATCGACGGGAGCGTTTCCCAAACGAATTCTATTTTCTAACTCAAAGGTAAAGCCACGGCAAGTCGATGGTTTCTAGAATACGATCACGTACCGATATACGCGTATGTATCGTTGACACTCGCCAAGACTCCTCACCTGCCCATCAAAAGACTTAAAGTCATCCACATTGGCCAATCGGTTACTCGGCTAACATGTGAGCGAGGAAGTAAACGCTTGTCCTTTTCTCCTCACCCCTCTTATATACCACTTTGATGTGTCTATAGTAAGCTACCTATCCAGTTCTATAGAAGGTTCCTTATACATCTGCATACGATCACTGCGTCACTACTATGCTCGCATGTTCTCTTCGTCGTTACTTGGCGAAATGTGGACGCCTTTCGAGTACTGTTTTTCTTGGCACTTTGAAGTGTACCCCGGGTATAAACGATCGTTCCTTCTTTCTTCTCGAATACCAACCCGAAAGGGACATCGTAATTTGTACTCTTCCAGGAAATCGTGCTGAAGTTGTGTCGGGTAAAGAAAATAAGTAAGAGCAAACAATATTGAGATCAAAATTCTCTACAGGAATCTATTTTATCCTGCTCAGGAGGTAAAATAGTTTACTTGCGAAATCTTGATATTATTAAATGTAGTTTAAAAAAATGACAAAATATTGGTTTTATTATATAAAGTAGTATGAAAATATTGTTAATAAGGAACACACAGATCTCAGGCTATTTTTTAAAGTATTAATTGTCTTCATCGTCGCTTATTATCATTCGAGTGGTATTCAAATTTCTCGTTTTTTCCGTCACACTCTCTTCATCACTATCGATTATTTTAGAGACTGTTGACTTGTGAATTGAGATTTTTTCTTGATTAACTTCCTCGTCGTCTGATTCATGTGTAATTGTGGGTTTAGAATTTTTTATTTGGGAAGTTTCAGAATCTTCATCGCTGTCCAATAAACGTGGCCTTTTGCTTAACGGAGTTTCCGTGTCGGAACTTTGACTCCGGTTTCTCTTAGTTTCGTCTACTATAATAAATTAAAAACGTATTCTATTGAAATTATAAATTAAAATAAAAAAGTAGAATGTTGAGTTTTAAATTACCTGGCTCGTCTGTGTTCCTTTCGATTTCTGATTCAGATTCGGACGAATCCGAAAGCAATTTGACTCGACGTTTAGAAATTTTCTTCACGGTTTCTAAACATACGTAAAAATATCGATTATGAAATTATTAAATTATCAATTTATTATAAAAAAATGTATACTTGTTCGGCATTAAATTTGTGAAAGGCTATAGAATCGGAGGATATTCTGTTTGAAATCACGGAGTTTGTATTTTCTTCTATATAAAAAAAAAGAGAAAGAGAGAAAAATAAAAAGTTATCTTTAAAATAGGAAATCGTTAATAAGTTTTACGAAATGGATAGCTGGAGAGATTGCGCTGTTAAATCAGTCGGAAATAAAATAGATAAAGTTGAAGTTTTCTTTCCGTTTTACTACAGGACTATAGACTGAAATCGAAATTGCTCGAACGAACGACGAGTCTCGTAACATAAAACTGTATTAAAGAACGTTAGCCTTTTTCCTCTAGCATTCTCAATAAACGTTTCATCCGTTGGTAAATCCCAAATAATCCAATAGCTTGGTATCAGCAATAACAGAGGGCAGGAAGCTATCGTTTTCTCGTTTTCTACACGTAACGAAGCGCCAACAAATCGTACGTACCGATTGCTTGGAAATTACTCTCCGTACCTTCCTGATTCTTGCCATTTTCCACTTCCTTTGTTTCGATGATGTCGGCAGTTTCTTGTACATCACGTTTAGTCGACTTTTCAGATTTATCCGAATCCGAGGGTACATCTTTTACTTGCGAGGTCGATGCTGTGGATTCTAATAAACGATTACGAAATAACAATTTTGCAATGATTTTAGTTGTTTATTCAATAAATTGTATGCATATAATCGAACTTACCTTTTTTTTTAAAGAATTTTTTTATAGTCTCCAATAAATCGATGTCATCGTCACTTTCGTCGCTCGAATTATTTCTAATATCGTCATCGGTATTTTTCTTAGACGGGATATCTAAAATCAGGTTCAAGAAGTATATATTTTAAATCAATTATATATAAAATTTAATACGAAATTTTAGGAATATTTATAGATAAACTTTCAAAATTTATTACTCATGCTTAATATCGAATTATTATTATTAACTGGCATTAGGAACTCGAAAGTTCATTGCCGCAAATACCAAATCCCGCCATTGTTTCCGTCCCTGAGCGCGATCCTTCCATTCGCGGTCTTCGTATCCTATTTCTTTTAAGTCCTTCTAATATTATCCTCCCATCTACGTCTCGGTCTACCTAGTCGTCTTTTCCCATTTGGTATACCGACCAATATTTTGTGCGCCGTACGATCCTCCCCCATGCTCGCCACGTGACCAGCCCATCTTAATCGGCGTGATTTTACGACGTTGATAATGTCCAGTTTGTTGTACAATCGATGTACTTCAACGTTATGGAGTTTTCTCCATTCGCTCGTTTTCTCATCGCATTTTACGAAAAACTTTGTTTTCGAAAACCCTAAATTTCTTTTCGTCCCGTAACGTAAGCGACCACGATTCGCTACCATAAAGGACTACCGGCAGGATGATTATCCTATACATCCTGATTTTTAATCGCCTAGCCAGCAACTGCGAGCTGAGTAATATGCTAACCGAATAAAAACACGAATTGTCTAGAATGATTCTTTTCTTAAGTTCTTCGTTAATTTTGTTCGTCTGGTTTATGATCGATCCAAAATACCTAAAGTTGCTGACCCGCTCATAAGTTTTATCCCGGACGACCAAAGTTCCAGTACTAGGCCTATTCTGAACTTTATCGGTTACCATATATTTGGTTTTTTCCGCGCTTATTTGCAGTCCCAGATCTTTAGTATTATCTATTAATATTTTTGCGTTATTAATTAATGCCTCTTCATTGTCCCCTAACAAAGCAATATCGTCCGCGTATGTTAACAATTGTGTTGTCCCGTTCAACTGTAGACCATCTTTACTTTTCTGCAGTTCTTTGACAGCGAATTCCAGTACTAAATTAAACAAAAGGGGTGACAATGGATCCCCCTGTTTTAACCCGCTATGGATATTAAAATCTTGCGACATTTGGTTACCTAACCTCACTTTACCCCTAGTTTCCTTTAGGCAAAGTTGAACAAGGTTGACCAATTTTCTTGGTATCCCCTGTCGTATTAGGATTTCGAGCATTTTTTCTCGTTTTATCGAGTTGTACGCTTTTTGAAAATCTATATAAAGTTGATTTACCGGCTGATTAAATTTCCATTTTTTCTCTAAGATTTGTCGAATAGCAAAAATTTGGTCTGTAGTCGATCTATTTCTCTTAAAACCGCACGGGTGATCTCCTATTATCTCGTCCGCATACGATACTATCCTAGCTAGTAATATGTTTGATAGTATTTTGTAACACGTCGGTAAAAGTGAAATACCCCGATAATTATTACAATCCATTTTGTATCCTTTTTTAAAGCTTGGGATTATAATCGACTCTTTGCTTAATATCGAATATTTGTACTAAAGATAATTTCATTGTATGAATATTAGAGTAACTTGGATTGGGAAGGTGGACCCTTAAGATCTCCTGAGATCGATTAATCAAAACTAAATAATTGTGAATTACCTTCGACGATGAATTTTCCTTCCAAAGCATCGGCAATAAGATTACATCGTTTTCGTATGGTAGAACTGAGCATGTTCGCTGGAATTCGCCAATAGGTTTCTTGTTCGTTCATAGGTGGATGCATGCCCATAGCGCGAAGTAATGTTTGAAAATTTTTAGAATCCATCGCATTTGATGAATTTTCTGTCAACGGCACCAATGGGATTCCTTCTGTGCTTTCCTCGTCGCGATCATCGAGAGCATCCTCCAAGGATTCCTTGATCCATTCCAATGACTCCCTCATATCTGATTTATAATGAAAAATTTTCATCAATTTTTTTTACATGTGACCCATTACAAATCGACTATTATTAAGTTTATCCTGCAGTTTCCGCCGAATATTATTACGAGTTATCGTATCCAACCGGAACGTAGGACATACACTCGGTAAAACGTTAAGTTCACTCTATCGTAAGTGAAATATGAGGGAGAATAAATTGCTGTCGGATCCTTTATTGTCCCACTCGGTGCAATAGTTACTAAAGTTCGAAGTGGTAGAAACGAACTTATCAATGAACTCGATCGTGCTAAGAGAAATGATAGATACTTTTGCTATAAAACTGATAAAAAGTAACAAAAAGTAAAAAATAAAGAAGATAAAAAAAATCTAACGTCAAATTAAACGTGAGAAGGAATCGAAATTGTTTGTTTTATTCGGGGAAACTTTCACGAGAGGACATTAGTGCGTTTCCAATATAAATCATTCGTCTCCTATCTAGCACGCTTACAAACTTCTAGAACGAGTAAAAAAAAAACAATAAAAAGAGACAAAAAAACGGGAAAGGATAAAAAGTGCAAAGGTTTCGATCAGCGTTGTCACCATTCCTTTACCGTTCCTTTCCGAAGACGAAGCGATGTTAAAGTACCAAGGAAGCTTTGCAAAAAGCACGAGATATCGTCATCGATACGCCGGGAAATAAAGGAGGGTCGTTTTCTAACGACAGCAGCTTTCGAACTAGTCTACGAGAGAAAAGGACGATGGGATTACTTCTGACATGTCCCACATTTGCACACCGAGTAGGTATTTCACAGGGACAAGCCATTATTTTGCTTTTTTATTTCTCCATTGGTTCTATACCCTAGTGATAGCACATTGGTAATGCCTTCCGTGGCAAGGATTCCTCCCGAGAGTCCTTTTTCCCCCTTTTGCAACGCAACCCTCTTAGTTGGTTCTACGTCGAGAAGACATTTGTCCTACTACTCGCGAGAACGAAGCTTTAGTCTTGCAACCTTTCGACGGTGACTTCTTTCCTTCTCTTTCTATTCTTTGCTGTGGTACATCGTAAATCACCGAGTGAATGAGAGAGATAAATAGAAAATCAAAAAGAGTAAAAAAAAGATAGAGAATAAGTATGAGGGAGTAAGAGTAAGAAAGAGTAACAACAGGGAGAAAAACAGAAAAAGAAGAAAAAAAGAGAGAAAGATAAAAATAGAACTTTACTCACTTCCTTCGATGACGGTCTTCAAGAGTCCAGATAATTGTGCATCCGTGTAAAGAAACGTCTTCTGGTCTTTCTTCCTTCTCGACCTTCCTCCTTTCGTCGTCGTCGTTGTCGTCTTTTTCTTATTCGTTGGTTTATTTTGAGCCACGTCGTTACGCCCCGAGGATTTTCTACTTTCTTCCTCGGAGTCCCGATCCTCGTCGTCAGAATTACCGCCAGACTGTGTTTCCCACGACGATTTTCCTTTGCGCACAACAACACGTGGAAAAACGATATAAAACCTTTTTCAAGTTACTAGCCTCTGTTCATTGGCGAATCCTAAAACGCACGACTTGCTTCTATCGTTTTTCAACCTTCTACGGATCGTTTTCTTTCGTTCGGTGTTAAAATAAATAGATAGAATTTCAATTAAATGATTAAAATTATTTGGACATGTATGTTTGGATGGTAAGTAGAATGGCCAAATTTGTTGCTACTAGTTTTAATCGTTTAATAAGATTAGATACATGTATATTTAGTCTGCATATGTATTTGCATATATATTTCTCAATTATGTTTCCTGCATGATTTATTACTTTAGTTAAATATTAATTTTTCACTTAATTTCATATCATAAACATTATCCAAAACTAAAATCCTTAAAATTGTAAAAATAAATTTAGCTATTTCATGCTATTGGGCAATAATAATCTTCACAATATATTATTAATAATGAAAATAATGAACTCTTTAATTGAAAAAAAAAAGAATAGAAAGAAAGAAAAGATATCTCAATGCAGATATATATTAAGTTCGGTGAATTACTGTATTCTGTATCCTCGAATTGTTAATGAAGTTTTCCAAATTGCCTATCTTGGATAGAAGCCATCAACTCTGGACAGAATGACACTTTCATTCTCACGTATTTCCGTTATCGAGATCGATTGTGTGTATGTATATACATGTACGTTAGCGTGTGTGTGTGTGGGTGTATGTGTTGAACAATTATGATACCCACTCGAAACGTTCTACAAAATGTTTTAACGTTTTCCATTCGATACGAGACAAAGCCGTCCGTTACACTTCATCTCTCGGTCTTATATCTACGATACGATCTATTGCAATGCATTGAATACAAATAAGGTAAGAGAAGGAAAAACAATATCTACGATAAATATGAAATTCTTCGTAGTACCGTAATGGAAAACTGGAAAGAAAGAACGTTATAGGTTGCAGAGAAAGAGAAAGAGAGAAAGGAAAAATGTAGCAGAAATGCGCGTTCGTTCTTCGATATTAAATAACAAGATTTGTATTCCGCAAAGATTCTAACATGAACTTCGAGCTTTCACCGAAAGAGAAGACGTGACGGTAGCTAAAAACAAATGTTATTTCGTCACTAGGGTTCGATATTTAAAACAGTTAAAAAGCCGACAACGTACATACGTATATAACGCGAATATCAAAGTGGATGTAGCAGAGATAAACTCGTTTTAAAGTCGAACATGTATCGTTACGTGTGTTTTATTGTTGAAATAGTAGAATGTTAAACGATGAAACGAGAGACATGTTTATCGAACTGCCAAATCTCTCCCTTTCTCTTCATTTGAAAATTGTCCATATCCTGAGGGTAAAATAAAAATGTGTGTGTGTGTGTGTATGTGACAAAGCGTTACACGTGTGTACGATGTGATACAAGGTGTCAACAAATTCGTACTACATATATACAGGCTGTTTCAAAATGTATAATCATAACTTCAGGGTTGAGTCATGGTGAGATACGATTAAATAAACTTTTTTCCTTATTTGAATGTAATAAAATCATCTCTTACATTATATCTGCATATTTTGAAAGATCCTATATATCCGTGAATACTCGGCGCATCAAAAGTTAGAAAAAAAATCAATGGGTGTATAATACTTCAAATAATCGATATCTCCGTGATATTTGTTAAAATTAAATTACTTATATTTGGGAATATTTATAAAAATTTGTTTGGTGAATGTTAAAAGTGAGAGAATGTAACGAAGTTTATCGATGAACTGTCAATCGTTATATAAAAAATAATCAAACAAGTCGGTAAAATAAGAAGAATGAAAAGTAATGAAAGTGTTTCTATGTAGATATTTGTTGGAAAAGTAGATAAAGACGCCCGCGGAGTCTACAAATGAAACAACGAGCTTTCCAGAGAGGGGGATGAATCTTCCTAGAAAGTTACGTTAAAAGGAAGGAAGAAAAAAAAAGAAAAAGAGAGAGAGAGAGAAAGGGGAAGAGAATTTCGCAGCTGCAGTCCATGGAGCGAATAAGAACGCAGGACGAGGATATAATTGCGACAAGGAGTGCACGGTGAATTTTAATTTCGTGATATTTCTACCGCAAAATTTGTGGATTATATATAAGAGAGGAAAGTCGCGTTCGTTGAAGATAAAATGAAAAAATCGATGAATACGTAACGAGGTAGTGAACGCGGGCCTCGTATCAAGAATAATCTCGTTGAAAGCTTTAAAACACAAAAATATCTGAAATTGGAAACCGAATAAGTTCTATTACGGTTATAAATGGATAGTACATCGGTTGAGACATAACCGATCGATATTGATAAAAATTGTTGTAATTATAAAAATCTTTATTCATTATGAAATTCACGGAAGATTTGTATGTATTCGCTGATGAAATATTTTATCTTTTTATAAAATATTTCCCACAGATATATCTATAATGCAATGAACAAGTAGATTCGTTTCGAATGGTAGAGAAAGAGAAAGAGAGGGAGAGAAAATTTTACAGGATATTAAAATGATCGAACCGCGAACCTTTCGGTATGTGTATGTATGTACGATAAAAAAGGGAGAGTTAGGGAGAGAGAGAGAGAGAGAGAGAGAGAGAGAGAGAGAGAGAGAGAGAAATACAAAGAAACGAATATGATAGATAATTAATTGATCCTTCGATTTTCTGACGATCATCACGACGTATTGGAGCTGAAGAACATTATAGATATATTTTCATTTCCGTTTCGAACATATCAATAGAATAGATGTATATATACGATACATCAAGTATAGAAAAATATGCTAATTAATTACGAGATTCAAATGGAAGAAGAAATGAGAGAAATAATTACGAATGGAAAATAAAAGAAATATACGCAATACTCATGTATTGAGAACAATTAAATACTTCCAATTAAATGGATGAAATGATTTAAATAAGTTCACGTTGTAAATTTCGATCAGGAAAAAAATTGAATTATTTATATTCTATTAAAGTTTATCGCATGAGTGAGATTAATAATTATTTTTTTAATCTAAGATTAGTTTGTACATATATGTACCTTTTTTTGTTACACTTATATATGACATGGGTAGAGATGACTATGAAGACAAATGAGAAGAAGAAATTGTAGGAAGCTTGTTCACTGCTTGTAATATCGGTAATAGGCTTTTTTTTTGGGTAAGGCTAAACGTCAGAAGAAACTGATCTCGCTAAAAATGGACCTTTGCTCTTTTGTACGTTCGAGTTTAAGGGAGTAGATTTCTTTCTTTTACTCTCGTATATACATGGTCTTCGACGATCACGTTAACCGATCGAATTCACGCTGTTGGATTTCTTCGAGTATGGTAAAAAAGATAGATGCGAATAGAATGGGATGGGTTAGAAAACAGGAGACCACTTTGGATAAGAGAGGATAACTCACCATGATTGCTTTTTTTTGATCGCTTTTTGTACAGCTCTTTCGGATCCTTGGCTAGTCCTAATTCTAAAAGCTTTTCTTTGATCTTCGGTTTCGTTCGTTTTATTCTCAACCCGTTGTAAATAAGTTCCACTGGATCTGTTGATAGACGTGAGTTAAATTAATACGAAGCAAAATATTAATTGTTTATAAAAGTTTTGTAAGCAGTTTAATTATTTTTTCATCAAATAGTTTTCTATAGATAGAAAGATAGAGATATACTGTATAGTAAAGTAAAAAAAGAAAAAGAAGAAAAAAGAAAGAGAAAAACAAAAAGAAAAAGAAACAAAGTTAGCAGAAAATGATCGAAGAGAGGAGTCGGTAATATGAAGAAAACCTTGAGATAGATTAAAGTCATAAACACGAGATAAAGAAAGAAAGTAAAAAGTATAAGTTGGAAAAAGTAAAGATCGTAACTACCTTCATCTTCTCTCAGCTGTTCCCAAAGTTCCGTGAGCTGAGCAATCTCCTCCTCGGACCATTCCTTGGGTAGTCTCTTCTGTATTTCGTTTCTTACACTCTGAACGTGATTAAAGAATAAGAAAGAAGAACATGTTAAACGTGATTATAATTTTACAATGCCAGTTGGAATAAAAAAAATAGTAGAAGAACTGTCAGCTCATTTTCCGACGATTAACCTTTTGCCCTTTCTTGAAGGAAGGAAGGAAAGAAGAGGAAGGAAGAGAAAGAGAGATATAAGGGACAGAAAGGGATTCCACGAAGGCCAAAGCCTAAATGGCTGACGCGTACTACTCCATGCACTAAATGAATGTCAAACGAACACGCTCTGCTTTTACTCTACCAAGGAATCCTTTCTTTCTCTCTCTCTTTCTCTCTCTGTCAATCCCTTGGTACTTTTCGAGTCACGAGGGTGAAGCGTACTCGCGCATGAAATTATTTAAATGAAACGCTTCCTCGCCTAAGCTCTTCCTCGAAGAGTTTGTCAAGGAATAAATAACAGGGTCAGCCCTTTTTACTTTGTATGATCTCGATCTCCCTTGCCTGCCCTGATTTTCATCTTTTTTACATTGTTTATTGAAAGAGCCTACTCGAACTATAAGTTCGAAGGAACCTTTTTTCTTTCTGCTGCCCTATGACGATCGGCCACTTATGATTAATCGTTAATTTCAAAAGCTTTTGGTAATTGTGTTTTCACAAGTTGAATGACGTCAATCGTTGAATAATGAAATGGCAGATCGAAGAAGGGTCCGATAATAAAATGATTCTGTATATGTTACGCGAAAAAGAAAACGTTCGTTTTAATTTTAATATTTCATTTTTTCTTCTAATGAATACAGTCTTTTATCGAATATCTCGTTGTTTTGCCAATCTTCAAGAAGTGAAGATATATTGAAAATCAATGGATCGTTATTATTTCAAGATCTTTAACATCTAGATAAAGGTGAAGAAAAAGATCGATTTCATAGCGTATTTCAAGGAATTAAAAATATGCAGACTCCAACGATGATGCACTCGCTACACGTTATGAAATATTCAAGAAATGCTTTTAATATCTGCAAGACCTAGAGCGAAATAAGGGAAGTATTAATCGAAATATTATAGATAGTTTATACAGGAATATTTTCAACGATCGATTACAATATGAGTTCTCTCTTCAATCTTTGTAATTCTACGGTTTATTGTATTTATTCAATTTTTATAAAAATATACACTACTTTTCTTTGTTGAAAAAATTTGAATATTTTTCTTTGAAGAAAATATTTCTTCGTAAAAGTAAAGTTAAAAGGATGAAAGAATAAGCTTCGAGTTCTCTTCTTTCTTATTTTTTTCTTTCTCTTATTTTTTTTTGTCTCTCTTCCTATTTCACGACGAGAAATCTTTTCCTTCTGACGTAGCGGTTTTCTTATCTTGTCTTTATGGAAGAGTTATGATCTTGGATACTTTGGTTAGATGTCATTGAATTTCTTTAGTGTTCTTGTCTTCCGACGTCTCAACGTCATTCAAGGAACTTCAAGATATTTCCTCCTGCTTGAGGGTGTTCAAGAATTCGGAGTGATATCGATGCCACCATTATTTGAATTACCTCTAAAGGTGGAGTATGCTAAGCGTCTTGTGTGAAGACAGAATATGAGGTTTTCATTGGAGTAAAAGAGACAGACGGATAGACAAAGTACGTCGGAGTGAGGGAGATAGAGAACGTGTATATTCCTATTTCACGTATTTGCGCACCTATGATTAATCTTCCAATTTGGATATGAATTATGCTCCGTAACGGGATCTGAATAGCTGCAAATGGGTGTGCTACAATATCTTATGGCAATATGAATTAGACAGACGTCGAGCGAACATTCGCACCGTTTATCTTATCATTGTCCTCACTAACTCGTATTCTTGTTTCCCCAGAATATAAACAACTAAAATAACTAGGAAAATAAAGAGAGAGGTGATATTTCAACGTGATATGTGAAGATACGAGGAAAAATGTTCGATATTTGGATCAACATTGAGGCCCGTTGTATTATATTTTATAAGACGTCGAGAAAGTACGAAGAACTTTCTTCTTTCGTTTCTATAAATAATGGGATTGACAGTATAAAGTGCTAGCGAAATTGCTTTCAGAAAAATATTACTCGAATAAGTCTCCAATCATAATACGATCATAATGTTCGTTGCCGAAAATATTAAATGTAAATTGTGTAAAAAGAAAAATTCTAAAAAATATTAATTAGTTTAAACAAATGCTTATTTTCACATTTTCTTATTTTCTCACAATTGTCACGTATATACACGTAAGCTATGAATGCGTGCTAAACTAGGAAATTTTATAAAAACGAATAATAAAGAAAGGTAGATCTTTCAATCTATGACACCTTTCTGGTTCTCTCGTGAGCTCGTATTCTTTTTTTTTTTTTGATAAACGACATTGAAAAATATTCTTTATAAAATTTTTTTATGGAAATAACCGGACAACTTTATTCGGGTAACTGATAAAATATATGACGGTTCCAAAAAACATATGATATATGTAGGTGTTATATGACAAAATTACGTTCGCGATTGATAAAAATAGTAGGAATGCTCCTTATCTCTCTTTCTCGTTCTACCCATCGGTTGATTTACGAGAAACGTTTGCATGGTTTTAGAGAAACGCGACTGGTCGATATCGAGAACGTGTATGTGTGGGAGTCAGTGTGAATGTTTGTACACGTGCATGTACGAACGCGTGGGTGCGATTTAACCAAAAAGCGTCATTCTCAACATTAACCCGAAACAGTAGCTCGTTCTACGTGACAGCATTATGCGAGCTCGTAAAAACGTCGAGAGAAAAAGAGAAAGACTCACTCAAAACGTCAGGAAAATACTACGCCGAAGAAAATACTTTTATTACGACTCGTTGAATAGAAGATCCTTTGAAACTATTTTCTGTTTTCCCTTTGTTCGTTATTTTTTTTTGCGTTTTCTTCTTCACATTTTTTTTTATAGTCGAACTCATTTTAGGAAAGTGACGGAACATTTTTGATAAAAAAAGAAAAAAATACAATAAACATAAAAACAATTTTAAGAGTTATATTTAATTATTATCGATCTTTAGAAACAACGTGCTCGCGCGTGTTTTACGTATGTGTGACATAGTAAATGTATTTCTATCTTGCTTTGAACTATCGATCGAAAAAAAAGAGGGGGGTTGAGGGTGGGTGTAGACGAGTGTAGGAGACATGGAATAGGAGAAGGAAAAAGGGGGAGGAGGAGGAGAAGGAGGAGGGTTGAATTCCGTTTTGTGAAGCAACGAGGAGGTGCCTCGTCATCGACGGAAACATTTTTCCACGCTCTTTCCTCTCGATCGTGTTCCATCCGTTAGCTCGAATTCCTTAAAGCAAGAGAGAAGGAAGAAGAGTCGTGGGGAATGTGGTAGGCGGAAGAGGAGAGAAGAAGAAGGTGTCCTCTCTCTCTTACCGCGCACGTTTGTAAAACCTCACTTGTCCTATTCTCGTTTCACAACCCTCGCCTATTTTCGTGAGCTCAAGAGGATGATATAAATGTTTATATGTGTATCGGCACGGGGCAAAAGGCAAACACGCGACACGATAGCTTTTCATGCCGTTAGATAAAAGAGCGAAAGAATGTAAGAAGAGAGAAAAAATGTAAGAGAAAAAAAGATAGTGAATTTAAAAGAAGAAGGGGAGTTAACGGAAATGGAATATTGGTGGTGACGAAGGAAAGACTAGGATATTTTCGTACTTTTCCTGAAGGAAAAGCAGAGGCATGAAAGCAGCATACGCGGGCTATAGAAACCCGTCGACGGAAACCTTGATCCGTACGCGGAGAGGAGCTGAGAGTAAGAAGAACATGGGGTAGGAGAAAAGAAAAGAGAAAAAGAGAAAGCGAAAGAAAGAGAAGAAATAAAAAAAAAAAGAGACGTATGAGAAAAGGAAAGAGAGAAAGGAAGAAAATCGTCGTGAAGGAAGAAATAAGAAAAGAGACGTATGAGAAAAAGAAAGAGAAAGAAAGAGAGACAGAGAGAGAGAGGGAAATAGAGAGAAAAGGCGGAACCCCAAGTAGGAATTGTCTCCCCCGAGAATTTACAGTTCCTGGAGCAATTCTCGGGCTCCATTTTTTGCATATGTTCAGTCCGTCTACGAAGGTAGTCCAGAAACTTATTTTCGCGACCCGTCTTTCCCTTTTTCCTCTTTTCCCTCTTTCTTTCACTCTCTCTTTCTATCTTACTTTCTTATTTCAAATCTTACTCCTTTGCCCTTTTCGCGATCCTCGTAAATCATCGATCCTGTCACGCAAGCCTTGCCAAGCAACTTGCTACTAAGGGAAAAAGAAAGAAAAGGAGTATCAGAGAAAAAAAAAAGTGTAGAAGAGTGAAAAGAGGATGAAACGAAGGTTCAAATACTTTTCCGTAATCGTGAATACCTACTAGTAGCAGAAACATCGGAGACGTGATCATGAACAATCAATCTTTTAGAGAGATAAGACGTTTTAAAAATATTTTTTCTCTCTTAATTCTTATTTATTATATATTTATTTTTTCATTATTTTGTTTGTTTGTTATATGGTTGATTAATTTTCATTTCGTAGTACACTTTTTTATCTGATCATTTATCTTAGCCAGTTTTTACTCTTGTCATTTTGGCCTCGATCGATCTTTCTTAGAGCAGGCCGTGTATTTTGAACTTAACCTAAAAATCCTTTTCTCCTGTCGATCGATGTTTCATCAATTGACGTAAGGAGAAAATTAAGAAACTTCCTCTTGGTAAGAAAAACAGAAAGAAAGAGAGAGATAGATAAGAGTACAATATTCAAGTAATTTTGTGATATCTGATTATCTGATAAGATGAAAAGAACATTATATAAGTTTTTTTCATTAACGTTATATCGTTTTCACTCTTTTATTATTTTGCTTTTCTTCTCTTCTTACCATTACACGATAGTTTACGCAGAGTTAAAAAAAGAAAGATAAAAAAAAAGGATGAAGAGGGAGGAAAACAAAAAACGAATTTGTGGAACGCAAAGGGGTGAAATGGAAAAGTCGTGTTTGGCCTAATTCAACCTGTTTCTTTAATGTATGACTCGGCAAAGTAGGATTATCGCTAAAGTAGAGTGTCAAGTAGGATGTTAAATGGCACATATTTTCTAAGTTTGGTTCTACATATACGATAACGGCATACATAAACTTACATACCTTGGAATTGACGACTAAGCACATCTCTTTCAGTTTCTTGATAACTCCTCGTCTCGTGCGAGTCTCGTTGATGAGTCTCTCGAGTATCCAATCGATTAGATCTGAAACAATAGCACAGGCATGCCTTAAATCTCTACCTTATTCTAAATTTATACATCAAGTACACTTCAGTTCGAGATGATATTGCATCTTAGCTTGATTGCATTGATACGAGAGAAAAAAATAATAAATCTCTGACGTTTTAGAATCTTTTCCATTTCGTAACATTTAAATATTTATTATCTCGTATTTCATTTGTTCATTCGTTCGTTTCGTCGATGAAGAGTAAATAATACGAATGGAGTGGAATATGAGAAATAAAATAGGAAAGGAAAGCATTATTTATACTTTTTTGCTTGGGTCATCCGTATTTCCACTTTGAAGCATTTTAACGACTTGCAACGAATCGATGAATGTCCGACGACAAAAAATCTGTTATTTGCTCTTTGTCATTATTTATCCGTATTATATTCGTCGTTTTAAGAAAAAAAAAGAAAAAAAAGAAAAAAAAAGAAAAAAAAGAAAGAAGAGATAAGAGTAAAAAGAGAGGAAGTGAGAGAGAGGGAGATCATTAGTCAAGAATTGCAGCATTAATATTCGATTCTCTAGGGAGATTTGCACGAGTGATTAATATTACGAAAAAGACAATTATTCTCGAAGAAAATAGGACTCGAGATAAGAACATTTAATATAATACGAGCGATAGGACGACGGTGACGGTAGTGATAATGGAGGTGGAGGTGGAGGTGGTGATGGTGATGGTGACGTAGGTAGGATGAAAGAAAATTAATCGATACGCGCGTGGAAGTTTGTGATAAACAAAACAAAAAAAAAAAAGGAAAAAAGAAATATAAAAATAATAAAAAAAGAAAAACAAAAGAAAATATATAATGGAAGACGAAGTATCTTGCTAAGTAAGAATCAAAATAATTTTCTATGGTTTTCCTTTCCATCTTATAAATTTAGAGTAAGGATGATTTAACGAACAAACGAGAAATAACAAGAGCTTTTTCTTTCGTTACACCCACAATTACGTCTCGTAATTTCAGGAAATTCCGGCAAGTTGAAAGCACCGATCCTTCCTGCCACTTTTACCCTGCTCACGACAATTTTACCGCGTGGTCACTTGGGAAAGTCAAACTGACACCCTTTTCTCTTTCTAGTATTCTCCACCCCTTTTGTCCTTTCTCTCGCTTTACTCTATGCTTCCTCAACTCATTACACCGAAATGTCGGGCCTGCGTTAGAAGTTGAGAGAACAATGCCTGTCTCCCTTTCTCAGGCATCCACGTAGAGAGACAACACGACGAACTTGTAGGACGCTGGTTTACCACAAACAACCTACTCATACGAATTGCTCTCTTTTCTTTACGTGCGAAAGGAAAAAAGAAAGCAGAAAAAAATAATAAAAAATTCAAGAATACATTTGCGTTTCAAGATCATTCTTTTAAATTAATTTCTTGGATCGATATGCTTGTCTCTTATATTTTTAATTAAAAATAATTAGTGTTTCATTTAAATTAATAATAATATTTCATTTTCGACGAATGATATTCTGTGTAAGACGTGAAATAAATTTCTCGAGAAAAAGAGCTCGAAATAACCAAGATATAAATGATAAATATAGCAAACAATTCGTTAAATGTTTGATGAAGTAGCTATTTAAAAGTCAAGGTTTAATCTTGATAAGGAAGAAATCAGCGGTATTGTAAAATCTTTTTAAAGCGTATTTTTTTGGCTACGAATCCGTGGAGACATTGATTCAAGGGCAAAGTTGTTTCAACTATTTATACACGATCGATATTATCCCTGAATTGGCCTAGAGGCTAGGGGATAACTGCATCATCCGCGGAGCTACGTGATTCGGTTAACCAAGAAACGAAGACATTGTTATCGTCGATCTAATAAATCACATAGACGATTCGCTCGTACCAATTCCCATCACCAGTTCCTCTGCACTATGCACCCTTTTGCCCCTACCATATATTCCCATATCTCAAAACTCCTTTCTGTCTCATCACGAGAAACGAATTTAATCTTAATTTCGAAATATATCAAAATCCATGTTCTCTTTCTTGATTTCTTTCTCGATCGTATATCGACGATTTCATCTTAACCGATGATTTTCTCGGCAACGTAAAATCATTTTGTCGACGATATTTATAACGAATCAACGTTATTTTATTCGATAACTATAACTCAGAAGTACTTTATCTTACGAAATATTGTTAAAAACGAACGTATGAACGAACGATTCGAATTCTATTTATAAATCTCTAAAATAATATCTTCTACTTTGTTCTTTTAAATCGAGTTAAAAACTTATAATTTGTTAAATCCAATAGAACGCCATGACTAACAGAAAAATGATTTTCAAAGTACAGGAAAAAATAAATACGAATAATTACCTTGCATTGTTGTGTAGAAAGAAAAGCATACTTTAAAGACGGATTAAATTTCAATTAGTTATTTCATAAAGCAACAAGTTTATGTCTATAATAAAATTCTTTTTATATTCTTACCTTAAAACGTTTAATTACTGGTTTATTATCTAGTTTTTTTACGAATCAATTGAATTATACATTTTATCAATAATAGTTATATATTTACGAAAAGAGAGAGAGAGAGAGAGAGAGAGAGAGAGAGAGTGAGAGGGAGACGTACCTTCCGAAGGCTTGTTAGTTTGATGTTCCATGAAGAGTGTTCGGAGTTCGTCCTCCTCCGCCTCAGTCCAAACACCCCGCGAAACTTTCTTCTTATCCTTCTCAGTACTGTAACCCTCGACGATTTGCGTCGCATCATGTGCGTTCTTCCAGAAGAGTAACTCCATATACGACTTCCGGTTCTTCTGCGCGACTTCGACGAAACGACGGATTATGAAGATCGCGAACTTTTGAAGCTCCTAAAGCATACATTGCTATGTTACCAAGAAAGAACGATTTATTATCTTTTTCTTTTTCTTCTTCTTTTAATCGATTTAACATGGCTTTATACATGGGCGAGAAAAATCTTAGAAAATAATTGAAAATATACGCACATTAAGAAAATGTATAATTAAATACCTTGTGTTCAGGATTCTTCGATTCGAAGACCTTTTGAAAAGTTCGAAATATCGATGCTTGAAATATCATAGCAGGCATTTTACATTCGTATGCAATTCTGTGCAACATCTTCGTGACGTAATGATTGACCTCGTTAGTATTCTTATCAAATTGTTGCAGAAGAAGGTTAAGAGCTTTAACTATCTTTACATTTGCGAATCTAAAACAATTAATTGTTCGATGTTTCTAATTAGTAGAATCTATTTATTTGTTTTCTAATACAATATTTGTTTATTAAAATCAAACTCTTATCATACCTTTGCACGAATTCGTTTAATTTGAAATCCGTTTCTTCTGTCATGACATCTTCGTAGTTATAATTTTCTTCTTCGTTTTCTTCCTCTTCTTCAATGTTAACAGAAAGCATAAAAATTAAAATCTGATAACTGTAACTCGTTTAGAAAAAATAAGAATTTTATATAATAAAAAGTTATTATTTATATCTTACCACCGTTGCGAGCAAAGTTATCTTCGAAATTGTTCTCACGATTCGTCTGTTGCGTAGGTAAGTCATCCTCGACAACTGAAAAGAAACCACGATTGAATTTTTAAATATTTATTAAAAGACTAGTAAAGAATTCCTTAAATATTTAAAATATGATCAGATCCGTGAGCCACGAATGAATATTACGAAACAGAAGAAGAGAGAGAGAGAGAGAGTAGAAATAGAGGGTTAGAAAAACAGGTTAACAATATTTTTTTTTTGTAATTTTTCAAAACGCACGAAATTAAAGTTGCAAGAGAAAAAACTACAACCACGATGATGCATTTATCATTTTCGAACCGTTCGAATTTTTGTTTTAGGTGACAAAAAATTTGCCGCGGTTGTTCGTAAATAAGGAATGAGATTCGTTACGGATCGATCGAGTAAAAATCGATAGAAAAAGAGAAAGAGAGAGAAAGAGAAGAAGAAGGAAATAAAGAAAGGTTCAACGAGAGTTCCTTGATCTGTGAGAGCCGCTTGTGGAAATCCTGGTAACGAAAAGAAAGCAAGAAATAGATAAAAACAAAAGCAAACGTAGGGGAAATCGTGAGGATTAATTTATACGGACCACGAAATTCCGGAAATGCGAAACGTCGAGGTAAAGGAACGTTGCCAGTGTCGGTCGGGCATCGATGGTGATGAAATCCGGATGCGAGCCCTTCTCTCCTAACTTTTTCCCATGTCTCCTTCCACCACCCCCTTTCTACGAACGTTCTCCGGGCATTTATTTTATGCGCATGCGCGCTACCAACAATGTAGCCTGGTCGTTGTGCGTTCGTGAAAACGCGAAATCCGATCGGATCCCCGTACGATTTAGATTTATTTATCTATCTCTTTCTTTCTTTCTTTCTTTCTCTCTATCATTCTCCCTTCTTCCATGGCTTTGGCCTTTCAACCGGAGAATTCATCGAACGAATAAAATGAACGTTGTGTGTGCTTCGAAAGAGACTGAAAAAGAGCTAGGACTATAGAGACTGGAAAATAACTGACCACGGCGATTACGATTTCCACGAATCCAGATTAAAATTCTCTTACTAGAAGAGTATATAAATTAGTGATTTAGAGTGATTTAGGGACTATTCGAGTATCTCGTTATGTTTTGGCAACGATCAGAAAAGTATCGATTCTTGTACAGGTTTTTTTTGTCATTGGTATACTCAAGTCTTACATTTTTTCTATACAACTCTTTAATCTAAACAACAATTAAAATATTGAACTGAAATCAAATTACATCTATGAAGAATACAATGAAAATTTTGATTTTATTCTTTCTTATCAGTTTATTAAAAATGTTATGCGTTTAAATGATCGAATTATACAATTTACGGGGTATCGTAGTATTAAAAAAAAAATAAATATAAAATTATAATCGTTCAATACTTTTTTTTCTTCCTTTCTTTTTGTCGAACAATTTAATCGAAAATATATTATTTCGTTCGATATGGTTCGACATAATGAGTTTTCTCGTCGAAACATTCCGTTGAGCTATCAACCGGACGCGAACTTATTGATTGTTTTATGATCCGTCACAGATGTCAGAACCGTTAATCACCAAAAACAAGCGCACCATATGGCTGGCGAGAATCGCGAGACTATAGGATCGTGTCGGAAAACGATAGCAACGTTCAGCCACGTATTCACTTGTGAACTCGACACCAATAGAGAGAATAGGAAAGTAGAAAGAATTTCCTTCGCACCTGAAAATTCAATTTCTATGTACGAATCGTTGTTCGGATTCGGAGTATAAACTTTATACTCGACGCGTAATTATTTTTTACCTTCATTTCTCTCGTTCGTAGTCGCTTTTTCGTGTTAATTTCTTTTTTTTTCTTTTTTTTTTTTGAGGAATTATTTAAAGCAAAACATATATCTACGTATGAGATATTGCAAAAGAAAAAAGATTATTCCAAGAATATTTTTGTCGAATCAACGATCATCAACGAACTTACGTGTAAAATTTTCCAATATTAGATAAACTAAAAAACACAAGGAAAAAATTGTCGTATAGTTTCTTCGTAAATCAGTAAGATGAATTAAAAAAAAGGTTTGCTTAAAAAAGTAATGCCAGTGAAGTCTTTTTAAATCATTCGGTAAAAGTTTCCTTTAAAAACTCGTGTTACCTCGGCTAAAGAAAAACTTTCTCCTTTTCGAAGAATCCGGTTTGTCCAAGTGACAGTGACGGCGTTACTTCAGCTTAAACTTTTAATCGTCTCTTCCCATGACCTCCTTAAACTCTAGACAGTAATTTGAGATAAAATAAAGCGTTCATTCGGTTCTCGGTGTCTTCCAGTTTTAAAGCTTCTACTACGGCCACAAATATATCAACGAAAAGCTCTTTCGGTTCTCGAGAAAGTATTAACTACTTTTCTTTTTTTCTTCCTTCTTTTTTTATTTCTTTCTTTCTTTTTCTATCTAAAATTTATAGAAAATTATACTAAAAACGATTCGAACTAGTTTTTGTTTAAATAAAACTAGCTTCTTTCAAAATTGCTGCATTTCATCCAAAGATATTTCATAAATTTGACTATATGTAATTTGTACCTTTTTTATTTTTATCATACAAGAATTTTGATATCATTTTACAAAAATATCAATTAAGTTGATCCTATTATATCTAATATAATATACCCAAAAAGACTAATTTTTAATTTATAATCCAACGTACCGCATTCGAATAAAATTTGCTGCATGAGAAAATTCAAAATAATTCGTTGTAGAATAAAGTTCGATGGAACAAATTGGTGCTAAAATCATTATATTTGTTCAGGCTTTTCACCAATTTTATTGTACTATCGTTCTCCCAGTTAAACCCTCGATATCATCCGACGAATTGAACGGAATCGAATTGAAAAATTTTAATTATCTCACTCGTCATACGTGCGGCATATTATATTTTATTTTTATGTGTAGAAAATAAAAACGCGTAGAACTCATACAGGAGTGTAATAAAACTTCTTAAGCTTTTTATGATAAAAACTGTATTGAAATATTAGATTATTAATTAATTTTTTCTGTAGATTAACCCTATACTCGGAAACAAAAATTATTAAATGTATCTGTACACCCATGTGAAACACATTAAATGTTTATTTCACTTCTTAAATAATTTAAATGGTAAGAATTTACACAAGTAAGAACTTAACTAATTCTAATATTGTACACGCGATACACTCATGTTAGCGAACAATACTTGAAAGGTATTAGCGATTCAGCTGATAATGAGTTTCACCATACCAAGTAACACGCTTCTTTCAAAACCTTTCATTTTTCGTGTCGTTTCAAAATATCGGTATCTTACCAAAAGAAATTTCACTTCAAAGAAAATAAGAAAAAATATACGAACGTTCATCAGTATCCCGATAAATCACGTTGTGTCATCTTCTTTCATACGTTTACGAAGAGATTAAAAGTGTATAAGAAAGATTCGATTTCGATAAAACGCTCGTGCTCATTGATGGTAGAAGATCTATACGTAAATGTGTATGCGTGCGTACATGTGTTTGTTGCATAAGTATAGACTTATATCTGTTCGGAAGGATTCGTAAAAGCTTTCTCAAAGTCCAATCCGAATTCGAAGGCTCTCATTTATTCAGGTGTCGTAGCAGCGGTTTGTCATCTTGAAAGTTTAATACCAACCGTTGCTTGTTAAGCCTGTACTCCTGACAACGTAATCAACGACGAAATTCATCACGAATTTTCAGATAAGCGCTTTAACGTGATAAGTACCTACGGATAATCCACGTACGAGAGGAAATTCTCGATCTGCCGGATAGCTGAACCAAATTTCCTCACAAAATTTGTTGAAGTTTCTCGACGTTGCATGTTAACCGAAGTGAGAGAGAACTCGTAGACATGCTATTAGTTATCCTATACGTACGTCGATTCCAGTTCTCTCAGCAAAATTTTTTTACCAACAAAAATTTTTAACTTATCCTACCTAGTATATATTAAGGATATTAAAAACGTTCCCGTGGAATTTCCATTCATACATGTTCATCCGTAGTTTTTCAAATACGTTCAAATTATTAAGAATTAATTATTTTTGTTTATTAATAATAATAAATTTAGGATAGATTTTAGTTCGCAAAAGGGAACAACCCACGTACGTGGAATAGTTTTGATGTTCGTCCGATCGGAACAAATATGTGACTGATCGATTTTTCGTGCAATGTTCCCTTCACGAGGAATAACAACAAAGTTTTCCCATCGGACGTAGGCATGCGCAATTCATGGTATATTTAATCAAACCATGAAAATAGACACACGTTGTGTGTATCAGATTTTTAAGAAAAATATCAAATGAATTTTACTCTTTTTTTTTTGTCTCATTTCATAAATCATCCGAAATTTCAACAAAGTACTAATCCAAATTTCGTATATTATTCAAAAAAGAAAAATTTGTTCTATATACTTAAATAATAAATCTTTCAAATATATTTTAAACTTAATTATAAGAAAAATAATTAAGATCATCGTAAAACATGGCAAAAAAAAAAATATACATTGAAGGGTCAGTTTTGTTTTGAAAGTCGCGCTATAACTCGAAGGTCCTGGTTATCGATCGTTCTAACGGCCGCAGCGTGGCGGCGTCCGATGCACTCTGTAAAAGCGTTTGTATATATATATATATATATATATACGAGTTCGTCGAGCCTTTAGATATATAGGTGGTAGTATTAGTATTGGTGGTGGTTGGGTGCACAAGCACGCAGGGAAATATATTACACGGGCCAGTGCGCGTGCGTGCACGTGCGGGCAGGTGCGCTAACGACCGTGAAGGAGATTGGCAGTAACGCGTTGCTCCATCGTGGCCACGCCACGTTTATATTATGTCAGTAGCTGCTTCATAGTATGCATACACATAAGTACGCATCGCGTGTCTATACAACTTCTGCATCGGCTTCAACCATCTAACCCCCCAATTTTTTTTCGATTTCATTCGAAATACGATGTAAAACCTTTTTTAACTGGATGTCAACATTGGATTTGATGTGTTTCAATTTTCAATCGTGCGCAATAATGAACTCTATTATAGATTA